GCCCCGGCCGCCGGGCTCTGCCCCAGCCCCAGCCTCGGCCCCGGCCCATCAGCACCGGCCCCGACCATGGCCCCGGGCCCCCGGCCCCAGGCCCCAGCCCCCAGCCCGACGCCCGAAGAGGCCTTTCACACTGCGATGCCATTGACTGGGCGCGTTTCATCGGGAAGGCTTTCCGCGACAAGTGCGACGCCCACTGACGTAGTTGTCCGTGATTGCTAGTGCCGCTGAACGCAGGTTGCCAGCCACACGGGCGGGTGGGTGCCTTCTCAATTCCTGTTCGATTGTATCTTGCGCGCGGTGCTAAGGACGAGTCGTGCTCCTTAGGGACCCCCACATGCGGCTGCAGTGGGAGGGTCAGAACGGCGGTGGCGTCCATTTCGGCGCACCCTTCGCACGTTTCGTGGCACCATGTGAAGCTCCACCTGCGGCCCCACTGACGGGGCCGTGGCCACAGAAAGAGCTCCACTTACGGCCCCAATGGGAGGGTCCGCATGTCTGCGCCGCCTATTTCGGAACACTTCTCAAGAGGGCCGCGCCCCCATCTAAAGCTTCATCCACGGCCTCAGCTCGGCACGCTCCTTACGCGAGCCCCGCCCACGGCCCCAGTGGGGCAGTTAGCATGGCTTCTCCGCGCATTTCGGCGCACCCCGTGCGCAGTTTCGCCGATCGGTAGGAGTTCCATGTGGCCCCAATTGGAATTTGGCATTACGTCCCCCCACCCAGTTCGGCACACCCCTCACACGGGCTCCTCATAGAGAGGTTCATCACCAATGATGAGGGTTGCGCCCCTCGCCAGGCTCATTTCGCAAGCATCCTGTGTTGGGTTCTCGATTATACATGTAACGGGGGGCCGGGTCTGGGGGCCAGGGGCAAGGACCCCGACCGCAAATGTGGGGCCCGGCACGCCGGAAGCCCTGCCGGAGCGCCGGGGGCCGTCCAAGGTCGCCCGAAGATGGCTTCGGAACGCTCGAAAACGCGCCCCGATGGCTCCGGATGCCTTTGAAGACGACTCCCATGACGCCAAGAAGGCCCCCGAAGGCCCCGAAGACGCCCCAAGAGGCACCCCGCGAGAGCCCTAAGAAACAAAAATCGTCGATTTCCGACCGGGAAATTGATATGTTTTTGGCGTGTTCGCCTTTTGGGCTTCCACTGCGTCCAAGTCGGCCCAGGAGGCTCCCAAGCCGGCCGAGGATGCCCCCAACAGGGCCCGAAGACGGCCCACGAGGGCCAAGACGGCCCACGAGGCGCCCAAACCGCCCAAGAACGCCCCAAGGCGGCGCCCAAGACGGGGACGAGGAACCGGAAATTCTTGCCTTTTGGCCCAAGAGACCCCCAGGAGACCCCAAGAGGCTCCAAGAAGCCCCAAGAGGCCCCCATAAGACCAGAAAAAACACCAAAAGAGGCCCCGAAGACGCCCCAAGAGGCACCCCAATAGAGCCCCAAACAAGCAAAAATTCCAAGCCGGCCGAGGATGCCCCCAACAGGGCCCGAAGACGGCCCACGAGGGCCAAGACGGCCCACGAGACGCCCAAACCGCCCAAGAACGCCTCAAGGCGGCGCCCAAGACGGGGACGAGGAACCGAAAATGCGAGCCATTTGGCCCAAGAGGCCCCCAGGAGACCCCAAATGGCTCCAAGAAGCGCCCAAGAAGCCCAAAGAGGTCCTCAAGAGACCCGCGAAAACACAAAAAGAGACCCCGAACACGCCACAAGGGGCACCCCAATAGAGCCCCAATGAGCAAAAATCTTCGGTTTCCTATCGGAAAACTGATATGTTTGGCGTGTTCGCCTTTTGGGCTTCCACTGCGTCCAAGACGGCCCAAGAGGCACCCAAGTCGGTCGAGGATGCCCCCAAGAGGGCTCCAAGACGGCCGGCCCACGAGGGGGCTAAGACGGCCCCCGAGGCGCCCAAACCGCCCAAGAACGCCCCAAGTCGGCGCCCAAGACGGAGACGAGGAACCGAAGATTCGAGCGTTTTGGCCCAAGAGGCCTCCATGAGACCCCAAGAGGCTCCAAGAAGCGCCCGAGAAGCCCCAAGAGGCCCCTAAGAGACCCGAAAAAACACCAAAACAGGCCCCGAAACAGCCCCCCAATGGGCCCCCCAAAACGGCCCAAGAGAGCCCCAGGGCGCGCCCAACAGGGTCGACCAGAGAGCTAGTCCGACTTTCCTCACTCTACACAGGGTCCGTCCCCGGCGGTGCCTCAAGCAGGTGTTGCCACTGGAGTCCTCCCTTGCAGAATGTTCTTGGTCAGCCATTCGACCTGGCATAGGAGGAGGAGGAGGAGGAGGAGGAGGAGGAGGAGGAGGAGGAGGAGGAGGAGGAGGCGGAGGCGGAGGCGGAGGAGGAAGAGGGGGTCAGGATGGGAGGGGCGGAGGAAGCCGGACGCGAGGGGTGGGCCGCTCCTCGAGCGCGTTCTGACGTGGACTCCGAGGCGGATCCAGCCGTGGAGCCGAGGGCCCTCCCCGGAGGGCCAAGAAACGTCCAAAATCCGCCTCCTCCTCCTGCACCTCCTCCCCCTCCTTCCTCCTCCCCTCCTCCTCCTCCCCCTCCCTGCATCCCACCTCCACGCGGCAATCCGTGCACGAGGGGGATATCGTCTTTTTGCAACCCTCCTTCACTCGGCATTCAGCGTACGAGAGGCTTTGTTTCACTGCGCAGTCCTCCTCCACGCGACAAAAAGGTGCACGAGGGGAAGCATGTCTCTTTGCATCCCTCCTCCACGCGGCAATCCATGTACGAGAGGAATATCGTCACTCTGCAGCGCTTCTTCACGCGGCATTCAGAGAGAGAGAGAGAGAGAGAGAGAGACAAAGGTTTCTTGTCATTGCGCAGTCCTCCTGCGACAAAAAGGTGCACGAGGGTGATCATGTCTCGTTGCGTCCCTCCTCCACGCGGCAAAGTGCGCGAGAGGGATATCGTGTTTCTGCGGCCCTCCTTCACGCGGCATTCAGCGTGCGAAAGTCTTTGTTTCACTGCGCAGTCCTCCTCCACGCGACACAATCCACGCGGCAATCCGTGTACGAGAGGTATTTGCCATTCTGCAGCCCTCATCCACACGACAGTTCGCGCAAGAGAGGCGCAGTCCTCCTCCACGCGACAATTTGCAAACGAGGAGAATTTTGTCTCTCTGCACCCCTCCTCCACGCGGCAATCCGTGTACGAGACGGAAATTTCGTTATGCAGCCCCCTTCACGCGGGAATTCGTGTATGAGAGGGGCTCGGGCCCGCCGGGGGCGCCAAAAAACGTCAAGGTGGCCGAGAGACGTCCAAGAGAGCGCCAAGATGGCGCAAGAGCGCTCCAAGAGAGCCGAAGACCGCACAAAATCATTTCGAAATTGGTCCAACATGGCTTGAAGACAGCCAAAGAGGGCTTCAGACAGCCAATATGCTTTCAAAAAGACTCCCACGAGGCACTCAGGAGGCGAAACAAGTAGGTTGTTCTATTATGTTTGAAGTGAATGTTTTTCGTGTTCTCGCTTTTTCGTGCTTCCGACGGTCCAAGACAGCCCACGAGGCCCCAGAAATCAGCTCAACACGGCCCAAGATGCACCCAAAGAGGGCGCCACGACGGCGCAAGAGAGCCCCAAGACGGCCCACGAGCGCCCCAAGACGGCCCACGAGGCGCCCAAGATCGCCCAAAAGGGCCCCAAAACGGCCCCACGAGGGGCCCAAGAGGGGGAACACGAACCGACCATTCGAGCCTTCCGCCCCAAGAGGCTTCCAGGAGGCCCCAAGTGGCCCCCAACAGAGCCCTAGAGGCCCCAGGGCCCACGAGGCCCCAAAGGCCCCAGAAAGACGCCCCACGAGCACCCCAACCGGCCCCCAGAGGCTTCCAAAATTGTCTTCAACTGGCCCCAGGGAAGCCTCCCACGAATCCCAAACGAACTTCCAATGGGCTTCTAACCCACAACCCAGGCACGGTGGCGGGATGGGCCGAAGGCCACTATCGAGAACGTGAACCGAGAACCCGAGATCTTCGCCCCAGGAGACCCCCAGGAGGGGTCAAGAGGTCCCTAAGAAGCTTGGCGACAGATCACCAGTCGACCGGCCGATGAGAGCAGAGGAGGAGGCAGGAGGAAGAGGCGGGAGGAAACAGAGAATGTTGACTCCATTATTCATGACCGCCTTGTTGTCTCAATGCGGTCAGCACTCGACCAGCTAGAAACTAAGCGCGCGCGAAGCGCGCGCGATGGTTCTAGTCGAATATAGCACTACTCGCGCATCTCCTTCTCATGCCTCCTACTCGTCTTCTGTGCCTCCCTCCTAGCCGCGAATTGCGCAACTGTCGCCACTTTCGCGGGCTCCTGAAAGGTGAAGCGGAGCGGGTAATTAGTCACGCGAACCTTGGGGGGCTGCGAACTGCGCAAGTGTCGCCACTTCTGTGGGATCCTGGTAGGTCCTGCGAGGTGGGTAATCACGTAGATCCAAGGGAGACCTTGCGGCTCCTTTTGGGCTGCGAGCTGCGTACGTCTCGCCACTTCTGTGGGTGAATGGGAGGTCCAGTGCAAGGAGTGGCATGCAGACTTAAGCGAGACTTCGCTGCTCCCTGGGGGCTGCTAGCTGCGCGACTGACGCCACTTTCGTACGCTTATGGAAGGGCCAGCGTGGAGGAGTGACACGCAGATCCAGACTAGTCCTCGCTCTTCCCAGAGGTGCTGCCAACTGCGCAATTGTCGCTGCAGATAGGTGGTTCACCAGCGATGGCCCATCGGACTGGCAGAAATACTGGCGTCGGCAATTATGCACGCGTCCAGGTCCCCAGAAATCGTTCGTCCCCGTGGAGGAGGAGGAGCAGGAGGAGGATTTCCCGTGGATCGTGGAACGCGTAAGTCCCCAAGGTAGTTTTCATAACACAGCGCGTCTCCTGACATGCTACCATCCGCAAAAGACCCACTGCTATGGTCACTTGTTGTAGTTGGATTGGGTAGGTCTCGCGTAATGTAGCCGTGTGCGTGTGTATGCTTGTGTGTACGTGTGTGCACTGCTCTCACTATCCCAGGCTTGGCCCCTGAGCAAGCCCGTGGGTGTGAACTTCGGGGGCTGGTTGTGCCTCGAGGACACGCGCGGGTAAAGCGGCAGCTGCGACGCTTCTTGATGCTAGTTCCCATCGCCTCTGTTACCATTCATCTGAGGTTGGGGGTGAGATCGAATTGGAACGGAGAGCCCCTCACCGGGACAACGGTTTCGGTTTCGGGTTCGTGTCGCACGTGCGGGCGAGGCGAAGCTGCGTGGGCAGGCGAAAGGGAAGCATCCGCTGTGGCTAGGGCGGGCAAGACAAATTGTCTGAACCTCCCCCCCCTGGCTGGCGGGCGGTGGCCGGGGGTATCCTGCCTTGGTGTCTCGCCGAGAGGAATGACCCCGCTGTGGCCAGGTCGAGGCAAGACAGTTGTCCGAACCTCCCCTCCAGTGGGCGGGCGATGGCCGTCGGTGTCCCGTCGGTGTCCCGTCAGTGTCCCGTCGGCGTCCCGTCAGTGTCCCGTCGGTGTCCCGTCGGTGTCCCGTCGGTGTCCCGTCGGCGTCCCGTCAGTGTCCCGTCGGTGTCCCGTCGGTGTTTCGTCGGTGTCCCGTTTCCGTCGGTGCCTCGTCGGTGCTTCGTCGGTGCCCCGTCGGTGTCCCATCGGTGTCCCGCCGGTGCCCCGTCGGTGTCCCGTCAGTGTCCCGTCGGTGTGCCATTGATGCCCCGTCAGAGTCCCGTCGGTGTCCCGTTTGGTGGTGTTTCGATGGTGTCCTGATTGTGTCCCGGTGGTGTCTCAATGGGTTCCCCGATAGATGTTCCGATGGTGTCCTGATGTTTCCCTTGTGGTGTCTGCATGGTGCCCTGGTGGTGTACAGGTCGGTGTTTCGACTGGTGTCCTGACGGTGCCTCAGTAGTGTCTGGATGGTGCCCCGATGTGTCCCCGATGGTGCCCCGATGGTTTCCCGTCGAGCCTGTCGGTGTCCCGTCGGTGTCCCGTTGCGGTCCCGTCGGTGTCCCGTCGGTGTCCCGTCGGTGCCCCAGTGCCCCAGTGTCCCGTCGGTGCCCTGGCGATGTCCCGTCGGTGTCCTGATCGGTGTCCCGATTGGTATATCCTGATGGTGTCTCGTTGGCTCCATGGTGTCCTGGTGATGTCCGGATATTTGCCCCGATCGGTGTTCCGATGGTGTGCTGGTGGTGTCCTTGTGTTGCCTGCATGGTGGCCCTGGTGGTTTGCGGATGCTGCCCCGGTGGTGTCCCGATGGTACCCAGGTGATCTCCAGCATCGCCAGTGAGATCGACCAGAGGTCGGGGCCGAGATCGCAGAGCAACGGCGAGCCCCCCAGTTTCGGGCTCGTGTTCGTGCCGCGCGTGCGGGCGAGGCGAAGCTGCCTGGGCGCGCGGGAGGAATGATCCCGCCGTCGCTGGGGCGACTCGGACGCAAAAGTCGGCGCGCGGTGGCTGCGCTTCTGTGCTGCCTCACCGTGTCCCGATCGTGTCCTGCGTTGTCCCGCCGTGGCGTCCCGATGCTGTCTCCTGGTTTTCCGTGGTGTCCCAGTGGTGTCCCGTGGTGTCCAGTGGTGTCCCGCGGTGTCCCGCCGTGGTGTCCAGATGGTGTCCAGATGGATAGTGGGATCGATAACGACCGAGATGTGGTGAGATCGGTAGTGCGATCGATAATTGGATCAATAGTGAGGTCGATCATGAGATCAGCAGTTGCATCGATCATGCGAGCGGCAGTGAGATGGATAGCGAGACCGTACTCAGCGGCATTCCGTGTGAGATCGCTAATGGCATCGATCGTTGGATCCACTGATATTGAGATTGGCCGTGAGGTCGATAGTGACATCGCATCGCGACGCAGCATCGTGATCATTCGTCGTCGCCAACTCGCGTGCGCGCCACCAGCATCGTCATCATCACATCCATCGCAGTTGCCAGCAGTTAACAATTTCCCCTCCCCCAATCTCCTTATCATCCAAAGTGTGGTCGTATAGCTACCGATCCTCGATTGCAAGGGGAGACATCCGATGATATGATTATTGCCGTCCTCGGCTCCAGAGCTCCCGACCATTTCTCCCGCAGGTAGGTTTTTTCATCCTGGATCCATGTTTGACGGCCCCAGGGCTCAAAACGGCCCCAGCTGCCGAAATTGAACGACAACATGTTTTAAGAAATCAATCCGCTGGAGCTGTGGGCTCCTCCGAGCAGGTCATGGAGGCCAAGATAGTCCCCCCGACCCATCCTGGGGTGCTTTTTGACCAGAATTTCAATGGGAATCCAGCCATGGCGACGAGGGCCCCCCCTCCCACAGAGGCCCAAAGAGCGTCAACAACTAGCAAAAGCATGTGCTCTCGAACCTTGAACTTCGACTTGTTCTGAACTCCAGGACTGGTTCTTCTCTGGCGCCGCTGGGGAGTACGTTGACAGCGGATGGCCGTTCACCGGGCAGGGTGCCTGCCTGCCCGGTCAGCTGCCAACGGTCGGCGAGCCGTGGAAGTCGGAGGGCACGCTTACGAAGCAGCTGGGCGAGGACCTCCTCCTCCTCCTCCTCCTCCGTCTCTTCCTCCTCCCCCATCCTCCTCAGCGTTCTTCAATTTGATTGCAGACGTTTGAATGCCACTCTCGATGCTCTCGGCGATTCCATGGCCACTTGATTTTTCAGTCTCCCGCATGTCCGATGACAAAAAGTGTCCTACGGAAGGCATTCCGTCCCCGGGTCACGTTTTTGTTGGCCCATTGTCGTCGCCCAGAGGTTGCGCAGAGTTGTTGTCGTTGAGCAGAAACGGTCCTGGGGAAGGGGTCCAGACCTTTGGGATCTCACGGGGGAACCTTCATGGGCTGGCCATTCGACCGTGAAAGTTGGGCGACGCCCTCGCGCAAACAATGGGCGAGTTGTTTACCTCGGCGCCGCCAGTTTGGCCCAGACTGGAATTCCACCAGGGGCCCAGCCTGGCAAGGGCGCCGCCCAACAAACGCGCAAGCCACAAGGGTGGAAGAGTGTGGGTTTCGAACCCGCTCCAGGCCTGGACCCTGCCCCGCAGCTCGCTCCCTGGGAACAGCCACGAGCGCAGGACCAGCGCCGCCCACTTCCCTGCGTCGCCGCTTGGAGCCAATCTCCAGCACCTGCGGCGGCCAACCGGCCAACCAACCAACCAAGCGGAGAGCAACTCGGCAGCGGAGCCCATACGGCACCCTTGCACGCCAATCAACCAACCAACTAGCGTTAAGTCGGGCCTGTCCGTCTACAGGTGGAATATTCAAAAATAGTTTTTAAAAAATAGTTTGGGCACTATGTTTTGAGACGGTGCCCCGCGTTCTCCCTCCTTCCTTCCTCCCGCTG